ATAATTTGAACGTATCTGTTCCGCGTGGAATTTCGTGCGCATAAAAGAAACACAAACCGCCAGCACGTCGTGTATTCGCAGAGACAGACGGCGATCGCATTGCGTTGCAACGCAACCCTAGTTTCGCAGTCTCTCCCCTCGATTTACCAGTTTTGATTTAATCATGGACGATACGATCACAACCGCATGTATTTTGGGCGGCAAAAAATGAGTCACCTGAAACATTCATATTGATAAAATTATCGAGGCAATGTGCATTTAATGAACCTAATAAATATAAACAATAAATGTAATCGACGAAATACACATCGTAAAGAATTGCTTGGAGAACCGTGGAGAAATATACATCATAAAGAATTGCTTGGAGAACCATGTAGCGAAGTTAATAAAATGAAGAACATAAAATTCTTTCCTCTTCTTTCCCTCTAAACATAAAATGCATATGCTTTTCATATTTAACGAAGAGAAATACCGTGTATTTTTATCTCTTCTCATATGAAGATCGTATATTATTTCATATTGAATATAAGACTGCTATATTTAATCTTTAGGATCATAAATACCCCTGACATTCGAGCCGTGTACCGCATACATTTTTTAAATAAGACATAATAGATTTCTTTTTTCATTATATTTAAAACTAGTGCGAAATATGCCTTCGTGGAAGTATTCTGATATTCCAGTGACGTCACGTAACCAGTCGAAAAATCGCAATAAGCCAGCGTTTAAGGACACAGGAAATAGAAGGCACAGGAATAGTCATGATATTGTTTGACGATCGAGTCTGTCGTTGGATTGACAGCAAGAATATTCTCTTCACGTCTTCTCACGTCCCCGCTGACCCATTCTGTCGCCAGTATTACATGCAAACCACAACTCCTCGAGGTTCCATGTAAGCGTGCTATTCATTGTTGCGTTTGCAAACGCAGCTCGAGCTCGCGTCCTTGTCCCGATCATGGTGGACTCATTCCTGCGTTCCGAACATAGACAAGCATGACCGATTTCCTCGCCAGGATAATTTTGTCTCCGCCTCGTACGTCATCAGAGGCTACCTAGAACCGGGTTATTCGTCGTAGATTGCGGGAGGGTTGATTTGTTTGCGCACCGCTGTAAGGCGATCATCCATCGTGGATATTGCGTGTTACGGTGGCTCGATGCCACTTTTGCGTTTCATTCGTAATATGTAGATATTTTCTTGATATGCATCATTTGGTATGCATCATTTCAATTCAATATCGATTGAACTCGTGCTAAAAAAACATTGAAAATGGATTTACAAATTACAACATTATTTACTCATCATGGTAATGGATAAAAAATTTAAGATTAAAACCGACGTTTCTATCTTATTTGAAAATATTAGGTAGAAATATTGCGTCACGAGAAAGATACCATGCAATGCACAAATACAGACGAAGTGACATGATGGCTAATGTCGCAAGATTGCGTTTAGACGCCTTCACTCGCCCTCGTTGAACATGTCGAGATATATCGATCATTAACATCCTCATACGAACAGGCTGCCTACGCTGTCTTCGCTAATTAACGTGGCTCGTAGAATTTAATCCCCTTAACGCGCGGCGTAATGATCTACAAAATGGCAACGTGCTATTCGATATGATCTTGGTCGTTCCGCCATTCTCACGGTATCGCCTGAGATTTTCGAGTAGCTCCGAAAGCTCCGGAAGCTTCGCGCTTCGCTGACCCGTCGATCGCGTGTCACCCACGCGAATATTAACTTCGGCAATTAATATAGACGAATACCGTACTGCTTCTTGTTCCCCATTTCTCGTCACTCGAACGACAGACGCCCACGTTCGAGGGATATTATCCGTGAGCGCCACGATGGGATCATTATGGGATAAATTAATATACGCCGGTATATATTACGAGCGCGAAGCGCTTGAAATTCCATTCCACCTATTGTTCTATCTCTTTCGACGGTATCTTCGTTTTTCTCCCGAGCAGCCTCGTTTGCGCGAGTCCCACACTCTTTCGCATCGTTCTCGCCTCTGTGATATTTCTTCGTCTTCTCCTTTCGTTCCCGAAGATTAGTCTAATCGTGTCATCACCACGTCCGATTGTATTTTCCGTTCTGTCTCCAACGTCGCTTCTTTGTTTCTCTCACGATGCGGCATAATTTTCGATCTTTATTTTTCTCTTTATATTTTCTCTTCTCTTTCTCTCTCTCTCTCTAAACTTAAAAAAAAAAAAAAAAAAAATAAAATTTTTGTATTTTTTTATGCTCTCATCAAAAATAATTTCTAGTAACGATTGACATTTTGTTACGTGAACATGATTTTTAATGAGTATTTATATCTGTGTCTTGGTATCCACTTTAATGTTGTGCATGTGCCAATGGAAACTGTGCGACAAGTGATATTACGCGAAAATTCTGACCGTACGAGAGGCCGGTAATAACAAATTTTGGCCACAATGATATTAGAAGGACGGCCAAGCGGTAGCGTTGCGTTAATCCTGCCTAGCAGAATGGTTAACGAAGCCATTTACATCGCAATTACTATGATTCACGTAACCATGAAACTTGGTTGCAACCAAAATTTGTCTCGTTGCGCGGCAGATTAATTGCCTGATCCGCGGAATGCGACGGAAGAGAGTGCGGCTTCCAAAACGCGGTGAGACGAGTCGACTGCTTTCTACCGCATGAAATCAGTTTGCGTTGCGCGCAGGACTACTTCGGGACTGAAAGTTTATCAAATCATTTTGAAGGAGATATTAATTAATATCTGCGAAATAGAGCATTTCCTTTTTGATACCAATTTAACTGTAAAATTTTAATAGTGAATATTTATGTATTTATGTAACGTTGGATATTTTTTATGATAAATATGTAATAAAATATGTAGCTTAAATTGATGACTTTATTTTGAAGCTAAAAAGACTTTTTTGATTTTTAAGAAAATTATTACTTATTTTTATAGTGTGTTTGCTACAAAAGTAATTACCATCATATATTTCAAAAAATAACGATAGAAAAGAGAGAAAAATTTCTTTTTTCATATAGTAAGAACGTATTAATTTAAATATGTTATTTAATATTGTTAAACATCCAATTATTTAAGATAATTAAATAATAAGTAAAATAATAAGTAAAATAATAAGTATATTAATAAAAGTTATTAATAAAATTAATAAGTATATTAATATAATATTTATTAATAAAATAAAAAATAGATTATATTTAACCTCCAGATAATTAGATAAATGCACAAGAATAAATCATGTTGATTATGAATATTTTAATTTCGTTTTTTTAAATTTCTCTAGAGTTCCTAATTTAATAATATTTTTTAATACATGTACAATAAACTTTCTTTTCTTCTTTAAATAAAATCGTCTTTTGTTCTTATTTTTCTTCAAATATTGATATCAATTACAAAAGAGCGTGTATTTAGATATGCAAGATGCGTGTGAAATGAATGTAAATATCTACAATACAATGAACTCAGATCCATCATTTTGTTAATCTGAAGACAAGAGATCAGTCATTTTTTGATACAAATCTCATCATAGTAAAAAAATATCAATTATAATTTCCCGACAATTGTGTAAAATAATTGTGCATGTACATATACGTAATCTGTATATACGTACAAATTTATTACTAGTTTAGACATGCGACAGCGTTGCGAACTTTAAATTCGTAATTACAATATCGTCGTGGTCAACTATGCCTGTGGGAGAATCAAATCCTCTAGTCGCGTGGGTGATTTTCTTGATTGAAATTATAGCTAATGAGGACGAGTGTATATTGCAGCACGTCGGTACGTTGATTAAGTTCAACAAACTTTGTCTCGTGGAATTGTCTCGCGAGGAGGAATTATATTTTTACCATCTCAAAGTCGCAATTCTTAGAATATTATCCTTGCAATTGGATTTTATTTTACTGTAACAATAAAGTGCAGCTTGTCACAAACTACAGAACATATATTATCTAATTAATCTTTCTTCAGATTTTTGTTAATTTGAATACGAACGAAAGCTTAACTATCGTCAGATAAAATTAATGTAAATGCTAACTTTTTTCTTAACACAAAACTGCTGCAATCTACAAACATGTTTTATTCATGCTATTAAATTATTAGTTTTCATCGCTGATATTTTTGAGTTTGATTTCGCAATTATGGCTTCATCGTGCGTGTGACCATATGTACATTTGATGCAACCATTCGAATTTCACAGAGCATGAAACATAATTGAGGTCAAGCAAGTTTCTCGTTTGTGTTGTATAACAATTATCAATATTCTACATTTCACGTGAAGCGAAAGCTTTCTAAGCAAACATTGATTTTGCGCCATACTAAGTATATCATAATTAATCAATAACCGGATCTTATATTATCTAGTCTTTGCGAGATCCTAATTTCCTTAAACACTGGTGGTTAAATTAATATAATGATTTTCAAAATACCTAAAATATCAGCTTGCCATTTCAGGAAAAGTAAGATTGATCATTTCACAATGTATATGCGCTCGCTCTCAAGAACTGACATCCTATGCAACGCAACGAAACAAAGCCAGATATTAATTTGCTCTGGCAAATATTTGTTTGTGTCTAAACTTTCTAACGAAGTTACGTTCGACCAAACATTCCTCTCAAAGCAGCCAGCCAGCTTGCGAAAAGACTGTTTGCAAACTGCACAAAGTGGTATATGGCGCGAGAACTTTGAAAACCACAATATCGCCTTTAGAGTAGAAATCCATTTATCGCGCTCTCGGAATAAGTGAGAATTGTTTTTATGGGTGTAGATCGCTCGATGGGACAAGCTTTGATGATTACTCAATCCATTACCGCGATCGAGCCGTCCGTAATGCGAGGCAAAAGTGGATCGAGTCCATCATTTATCAAATTCATTTGAAGCATGAAGTCGTATGTAAGTCGTATGTAAAGCGAACGTTATAAATGATGGGCTTGGCCTACTTTTGCCTTCCAGTCCCTCAATCGCATGTAATTAAATACGTTGATACTTCGTTTTCAGAATCGCGTGATCGTCGGACACCGGAGCCACTCATGCCACTCATTTGAGAGCGAGCGATGACGGTCGCAGGAGATGCTTTCGCGGCAGGAGGGCGAGCCGCACGGCTCCATCTTACGCCAATCAAGATTCCGCAGCTGTAAAGATATCGCGGGATTGCTGTGAGCCGGGATCGGCGATCGCGAATCAGCGGCAAGCACGGGGGTTGGTACGAATATTTATGCCGGTACTCAACGCTGAGCAGGAAGTGACGAGAGGCGCAACTGGGATTTAGGGATCCTCTGATTTCCTCCATTGGCGGTATCGAAACACAGACTCGTCAGGATGTTGCGCAACAACGTGATGTCATTTATGAAGAAGGTAGGCGCATCATCACGAAATTCCGAGATTGCAGCGGATCATTTGTTACATACGAAACAAATAGTAGTAAAGTTATCGAGTTACTGTAAAATTTTTTTTATCATGTTTATCCGATGAATTCGACACGCCGCTTTTGAACGCGCTTTTAATAGGAGCAAACGTCGAAATTGGAAATTGACCTCTCAACGTGATATTAATATGTAACGCCGAAACGTTGATGCTGCCCCCGGATGCCGTCAGGCGGCAGACGTGCGGCGAAACTTAAGCTGCAAAACGGCAGTTGTTATGACACCCAGTAGTCTCATTCGATATGTATCGATATGATATTTCGTTTCGGATGATACCTCGATCGGAATGCGAACGAAATCATAGTCTATCTCCGAACGAATATTTTTAGACGTAAATGAAATGTAAAACCATGCAGATACGAATCACGGACGGTAAAATGTTCGTAATTGCATTACCGGAGCGTAGCCGTGGGAGTCGCGTGGCGATCCACATCGAATCGAATCAAGATAGAAAACTCCGGTAATCAATAGATCGTGCCCGGAGTACGTAGCCGGTCGTTATTTAACGACCGATTTTATCCTCATGGATACTCCCGACGCATCGAATATTCAACAGTTGGCATCGATCCCCCTCGAAATACGGAGCACCCGGAAAACGAACGATCCCCATACCGCCGGATCTGGCCTATGCCTAAGACCCGGGATCGTTAGGTACAGCGTGATCGGTCCTGAGATCAATGTCAACGCAGAGCTTTTATCCGTACAAATCGACCGTTACTTCGCGAAAGTTACTTTAGAATTGTAAATTTTCTCGTAACACGATATTTCCATTTCCCCCTTATCAATGAGAGCTGTTCATTTAGCTATTTAATTGTGCTATGTATTTTAAGCATTCGATAGCTGAATATCACAAGTCAAATTTTAACGTCATGATGTTACAACATACGTCATCACAACAGTGTATGACATGTGATTGAAATTGAATATTAAAATTTGCTAATATTGGAAATTAATATTATTATATAATCGCATCAAATGTCACGATATTTAATATGACACCGAAACAAAATGAGATATATGTATATATATATGTATATATATATATATATATATATATATATATATATATATATATATATCTATTTTATTCATATTCTTTGAAAATAATTAGGACAGAAAATAGAAAGGTAAAAAAGATTAAAAGCTTCTCTCACACTTCTATTATTCATGAACAATTAACTGAATTTGTTTTTGCGTTCCGGCGTTCTCGTTATCAAAACGAATTGGTAATTCAAGCGGTTGGTCAAAAATAATAATGCTGCGACAGACTCGCTATTAAAAGATAAAAAGTTCGTACTCGCGACACGTGTACTCACGGCACAAGGATTACATCTTCTCGTGTATAAACTTAATCGTGCATAGTCGGCGTTTCTTTATGCGCACACTCCGTTTCTCTCTGCAGAAAATCTCTTTGCGCCACGTTCGCGCTTTTCCAAAGGAAAAGGCCTGGCCTGGCGAGATGAAAGCTTTTGCACACGGCGTTCCTTCCAGCTGGTACCGCTGGAAATTTGTACGTCGGTCCTCCCTTTGCCCTCTGTTCTCAGTTTCACGGTAGCTTTGGAATTTCCACGTTGTATCATCTCTGCTGTTTCTTTTCGCTTTTACATCTCTATTCGCATTAATAAGGCGAAATGAGAATACTTGAAAAATATTTGAATTCGTGATTTGATTTTTGTGACTGTGACCTTTTCAGCTGATTAAATGCTGATTAAATGATTGTCTATAAGTACTAATATCGAAAGTAATTGCGTTACGTCTAATTTGCCATTTTTTATTTAAACATGTCACAAGCGATTTGTGTGTCATTCTATTTGTCGCTTCGCTTTCACGTCTATTTCTCCTCTTTTTCGTTTACCTCCCTTTCTCTCTTCCTTTTTTCACTCTTTTACTTTTTCATTCTCTGGAATTACATGAGGTGGAATTCTATTGTAGAGACACTGTTATTACACATTTGCCTCTAATGCTTGTTTGGACCATTTCGGCCAGCAATGCCGTTAAATTATTCTACTCTTCATGGAGAATTCTCAGCAAAGTTTTTGTCTAAACATTTGTATGTGCAATGTGCAAGAGTATTTTATGCGAGTATTTTATGATCAATGTTTATGCCGCATGTAATATAAATTAAGAAAACTTTTTTAAATAAAAAACATATTTATATTCATGATATAAATATACCAGTGTAACATATTTTATATAAATACATAATATACAGGTGCGTTTTATATAAAAACATATACGTATCATAATATATTTCATTTCTAAATAGGTTTGATGATCAATTTATTCTTTTCATGGATTTATTTTTCAATCTTTTCATAAAATTTCCAATTTATATTCTATTTAGATATTGAAAAGCACGGTATAAGCTTTTTTTACGATGTTTTTTCTTCATCTTGCACGCGAATGTTCTGTCGCGTGGGAGGGACCGATTGTATCTATCGCAATGGTAGTTTCAAAATTTATCGAACCCATGGCGCAAGCTTATTTATTTGTTCCCTTGATGGCTTCAATATTCGGCAATGGCCTTAAAGGTTGATACGCGATACGACGGGAAAGTCCGTTTTTTATAGCTGCAATGCCGACAAGACTCTCTTGGCGATTCTTCTCCGAATATCGCCATTACTTTCATCGCTAACCTGGGAATCGGGTGCCGCCAAAATTATACCGAAGAGTAGACAGTTTTATATATATTTTATATATATTTTGTTACGTGTTAAAATTTATAATGCGCGTAAGGATTACATACATAACTGCTAACCGTAATGTAAATCTGTCTCGCGAAGGGATCAATTGATAATGTGCGACGAATGAAATATGAAAGAACATAGGCATTTCTTTCACGGTTGGTAAATTATGAATTTACCATATATAAACGAATTCGATATAAGAAAAGTATATTTCGATTTTTTTTCGTGATATATATATACTATTGATAACATAAATTTGCTGCTAAAATTTTAAATTCAGATATTTATAGAACACCTTTTATTCATAAGATAAGATTAATTGATCATTTTAAAAATAAAAAACCTAATTTGATTAAAAATACAAAAATATCTAAAATTGAGACTTTTTTCAATTTTGACATTAAATTCTATTTAAGTAATGTCACTTTCATATATAATCATTCATTATGCTTTTTCTGTTGTGCTTCTTTTCAATTGCTTGTAATTTCGCAACTCTATTCAAAATATTTTCAAAGTACCATGTATACGTCACGGTGCGACAAAGTGACGCGTAATCTTGTTAAAAGCGTGCTTCGCTCGTCTTCATTCTCGTTCTCTTATGGGACCAGAATTTTCAACTTTTCCTGCTTTCCCCGTCTTTCATCTCCATAGCGAAGGCATGAAATCCGCGACGTGCCACTAAATCATCAGCTTCACCCCTTCGCGTCACTTCGTCTCCGCGCGATCCCGTCAAGCAAACTTTTATTAACAAACTTTCGTTATAAAGCTGTATCAGTGCCAACGACTGGAATCCGCAAATTGTCATTTCCAGCATCACGAAAAGAAGAAAGGCTCACCCTCTCTCGGAGGAAAAAAATCATAAACGCTAAAAAAAAAAAAGACCGGGAAAAATGCGAACCGATCTCCGACACTATACGTAAGCAGCCCCGACGAAATTTTCCGCTGAACGCGCGTTCTCTCCGCCCCTCCTGCCGATCGTAATGCAGGCAGAAGTGAGAAATTCTAGAAACTCGAGAACGAGAACGAAAGGTCGGGATCCTGCGCGATTTTCCACCTCTCGTCGTTGTAGAAATTGTATGGGAAATGCGGCGCACGTTGCGCCCACGTATGAGTCGACTTCTCGGTTATGATCGCACTTAATATAGTGTTTTCCAGATAGAAATATATTGCTACATATTGTTATAAGTGATGGAGTAAATGTCGTAGTAATACAGTTGTCGGTGCCACGTCGGTGCTTTCTTATTCCATTTCGTTATTTCCCTGCGGCGGCTCATTGTTTCCGAGTACTTTGTATTTTATATCAGGAAATTGCTCTCGGTATATGTACACAAGTATATTATACCATTTGCACAAATGCAACACACATTGAGCTTTGTAAAATATAATTGATGCTGCGAAATTAGATCTATGCTTATTTTTATTTAACGATGAGAGAAGTCGATATTGTTTTACGTTATTTTTACATTGGATATTCGACGATAAGTAAATCGCTAATTTTTATTTAATGCAATAAATAGTGTGTTTGAAGATAGGTTTGATTGTAAATTAGCTGATGAATTCTGGAAGTCTGGTGATAATTATTTAAAAAATGGATAACTGTGATAAAAAAATTTTTAAAAGATTATAGATAAATATACAACACGTTTAATTATTTAATTATTGTATATCACATATTGCATTTATTGATAATAATAGAACTTCTACGATTTCGTTTGTACCATACTATTTAACATTTTGTTAATTTACACACAATTTATTTTCAAATAATTATTACGAAAAGTTTGAATATTTTCTTTATATATATAAAATAAAAAATTAATAATGTGCAATAAATTTTAAAGCCTTTTGAGAACTTAATTCTCTTAATACTTTTATTCATGCTTAAGCTACTTCAAAGTTGCATTAATCAGGTCAATATTGTTACCTGTTCTTTAATGCCAATATTTCTAATTTAAGAGATCTCTAATCTAAGATACTCTTCTGAGAATTATTTTCCAAGATAATCCTTTTTAATTGAAGTATGGGACGCGTTTCTCTGAATGTACATCCATCGGGAAAAAAATCTTTTAGACAGCATTTACAAATGCTGCGTATTACTCGAGTATATCCTGCATGGATACTAAAACGTGCACTCAAAATCTTTTTTTCTACGCCACCACAGCCACTTGAGTTCTATGAGCAATTTCATTAACGGTTGTTTTTCCTTTATATCGAAGTTTTTCCTTTATATCGGGAAAAAGAAAGA